TTAGATGCATATAACCACAATAAAGTTATAAAGCAGCAAAATTAACATATTTTGAAGGAAGAATGAAAAACAACAACAAAACAAGACCAATTACATGATTTAGCATCTCCATACAATCCGAAAATAGAAAGACAATTGGATTATTGGAATCACATACAGATTAAGAGCGGTACGACCATAGTAATCTTCCCCATGTCCTCACGTAATCTTCTTCATACGAGCCTGTAAAATGAAGTTTCGGTGAATTGAAGGGTTGGAAGAGATGAAGAAGATGTAGAGGGAGAGTGGATATGTATTCAGTTCGGGTAAATAAGTCGAATCCGAATCTGTTTCGCAGTCGGATGAGGTTTCTTCTTATGAAGCTCTGAGGGCTTTCTTTTTTCCCAGTATTTCCCTGTTGTTAGCATCTTCGATGAACAGATCTTGACATATTATAGTTATTGATTTTGTTATAAAAGGCTAGGAAATTCATTTTATTCATATTGCTGTATTTAATTTCTGCTAAGCTTTGGCCTCTTCCTAATGTAAAATTCATGATTACTTTGTGGGCCATGTTTTAATTAGAAAACAGCCAACAACTCACGGGATAGTGCATATAAGTTAAGACTTTAACCATTCACATGCCATTCTTATCTCCTCTAATAGTTCAATTGTGTTCTCATCCCTATTGTTAAAGGGTATAATGGTAGTTCTTTTTACTTGATCAGGGTAGTTTAGTCTTTTTTTCATTTTGCTATTTATTCCCTTGTACTCTCTCTTTTCTAATTAATGATTAAACTCGTTCTTTGTTTGGAACCCTAGCTTCCATTACTCTCTTCCTCATCTTGCTATAACAATTCCAACATGGTATCAGAGCCTTGATTTATCTCCTACCTGGGGCAGTGGTTAGTTCTGGGCTGTGTTCTTAAGGATTGGGACAACTTCAATTTCATATTGTCGTTTTAGTTTGGTATGATTATACGATCAGAAGGAGGTGTAGTGACTTAGCTATTTCTGTTGGCGGGTGGAGAGTTCTGGTTCCTTCCTCTTCGTTGGTTTCAGTTCTGGTTCCTTCCTCTTCGTTAGGTCTTCTCTTCCATCTTTATTTGCGGGTCCGGAGCTCTTAGCGGTATTCTCTTGTTGTCCAGCCAATTCGTCTCCATTCACAGAGATAGCCGAGGCCTCAGTATCACCTGATGTGGCTGCAAGTGTCTCTTCTCCAGATTCCATATTTTCAGAAATCTTCTTCCCGAATAAGTAGGCTATTAGCTCCTCTCTCAAAGCATTTAGTGATTAGTTGGTTTGGGGCTGTTTTAATGTGCTTGAAGTAGCTTCGTTTTTTCTCTTCTGGTAATTTTAATTTGGATTCCAGTGTGTTGTTTGTTGGTTGAATCCTTTATGATGGCGGGTGTAAGTGATGATTCGCTTCAGTCGATTACTGTGAGACTAGATGGAAAAAATTATTCATATTGGAGTGTTGTGATGAAATTTTTTTTGAAAGGAAAATCTTTGTGGGATTATGTAACTAGTATTGAGACCAAACCTCAACTCAATGAAAATGAAAATGATAAGTTTGTTGAAATGCTTCGCACTTGGGACAGGAACAATGCTAAAACTACGACTTGGATCTTTAATTCTGTTGAACACTCTATTGGTATACAATTAGTAAAATATGTGACAGCTAAGGAAATTTGGGATCATTTACCAAGGTTGTTCATACAGTCTAATTTTGCAATGGAATACCAATTGGAGGTAGATATTTGAGCAATAGAGCAGAAAAATATGAGTGTTCAGGAATTTTATTCTGCAATGACCAACCTTTGGGATCAGTTGACTCTTACAGAGGAAGGTGAACTTCGATCTTATAAACCATATATTAAGAGTAGAGAACGATGGCGTTTAGTTCAGTTTTTGATGGCTCTCCGTGATATTTTGAAGGACTTCGCGGGTTAACTTTGCATCGTAATCCACTTCCTTCCGTTGATTCTGTTGTTAGTGAACTTCTAGCAGAGGAAATACGTTTGAAGTCTCATAAAGAAAAAATATCTCTCTCTACATCCACTACTTCGGCAGTCCCTCCTCGACCACACACACAGAATCAGACGAGGTCTTATTTGAAAGTTGCTAGTGATGAGTGCAGCTTTTGCAAGCAGAAAGGACATTGGAAAGCTCAGTGTCCTAGGTTATTGGATAAAAAACAACCTCCAAAGAGTCAACAACAATCCTCACAACGGTGGCAATATCAGTCGTCTGGAAATTTGGGAGGTCAATCACCACATCTATCTTATAGGCCCAGTACAAATACAACAGCAGTTGTACCTCATTTTGACTCATCTAGTACTAATACTTTGCAACCTTCTGGTCCTACTTTATCTGATCTCACCGAGCATTTTCAGAAGTTCCTTGCCACACAGCCACACTCTTTGTTTGCATTTTCACATGTAGGTTTGTCGTCCTAGAATCCTTCAAGTACAAACTCCTCTATATGGGTTTTAGACTCAGGTGCGTCTAATCATATGTCACCTGACTTGAAATCCTTTATTTCTTTGTATCCTTCTAAGTCATCTGTATCTGTTATGACCGTTGATGGCACTCCAATGCCCTAGCAGGTGTCGGTTCTGTTAGCACACAAGATTTATCACTTTCAAATGTTTATTGCATTCCTGCTCTTTCTTTGAATCTTGTCTCTGTTGGCCAATTATGTGATGCTGGATACTTAGTTCAATTTTCTTCTACTGCTTGTCATGTACATGATCCTCGCTCTCAAAAGCTAATTGGGATAGGCCATAGACACAGGAGATTATATGTTTTGGACAATCTGAAAGGACCAGATGTTGCCGCCACTGGTGTTGATTTATCATCTTTTTGTTTAAGTCATTCTTCCTCTAAGTTTTATTTATGGCATTCTCGTCTTGGTCATGTTTCTAGTAATCATTTGAAATATTTAGTTTCTGAAGGAGTTTAAGGAAACTTACAGACTCATTATATTTCTGATTGTAGTGGTTGTAAACTTGCCAAATTTCTGCTTTACCTTTCAATCAAAGTATTTTTTCTTCTATTATGCCATTTGATATTATACATTCTGATGTGTGGGGACCTTCTCCTATTGCTACAAAGGGAGGGTCAAGATATTATGTTTCTTTTATTGATGATTATAGTCGTTATTGTTGGGTTTATCTTATAAAACGTCGTTTTGATTTTTTGTCCATCTATAAATCTTTTTTATCACTTCTCAAAACTCAACATTCCACTGTAATTAAGTGTTTCAGATGTGACTTAGGTGGATACTTCTACTGGATTCTCTGAATTACTTGCCTCTGAGGGCACTCTGTATCAAAACTCTTGTACTGATACCCCCACAACAAAATGGTGTCGCTAGAAGGAAACATAGGCATCTAGTTGAAACTGCTCGTTCTCTCCTGTTATCTGCCAAAGTTCCTAGAGAATTCTGGGGTGAAGCCATCCTTACTGCTGTCATTTAATCAATAGAGTTCCATCGTCTCACACTTCCGGTTGTCATCCTTTGAAACATTATATGGACATCTTCCTGATTATTACTTTTTGAAAGTGTTTGGTTGTACATGTTTTGTTCTTCATCCTAAAGTAGAGCGTACCAATTTAACTTCACACTCTGCTATTTGTGTGTTTTTGGGTTATGGTGAGGGACAAAAGGGTTATCGTTATTTTGATCATATTAGTCAAAAATTGTATATCTCTTGTCATGTTGTGTTCCTTGAGCATATTCCATTCTTTTCTATTCTTGATCACTATCATAACATGACTAAGTCTAAACTCATTTGCATTGATCCATTCTCTGATAGTACATATAATCCACTCTCTCATTTGCAAAGATGACTATTGTTCGTACACTGATTGCTATTGCGTCTGTTCGTCGATGGAGTATCTTTTAGATGAATGTTAAAAATGCTTTCTTGAATGGAACTCTTCATGAGGATGTTTTTATGATGCATCCTCCTGGTGTTTCTCATAACCCTGAAGACATTTGTAAACTTAAGAAGTCACTTTATTGTCTAAAACAAGCACCTCGTGCTTGGTTTGAAAAGTTTTCTACTGTTATTGCCTCCCTTGGTTTTTCATCTAGTCATCATGATTCTGCTCTCTTTGTTTGGTATACATCAGTAGGTCATATTATCCTTTCTTTATATGTTGATGACATGATTATTATTGGTGATAATATTGATGGCATTGTTATCTTGAAGTCGGAATTAGCTTGTCAATTTGAAATGAAGGACTTGGGTACTCTACACTACTTATTAGGTATTGAGGTTGCTTTTTCTCTTAAGGGTTATCTTTTATCTCAGTCTAAATATACATCTGACGTCATTGAACATGCTCGTCTTACTGATACTCGAACTATTGATACTCCTCTTGAGACTAACCTTCAGTATTCCCTCTTTGGTGGTAGACCTTTGACTGATGCTACTTTATATCGTATGATTGTTGGTTGCTTGATATATCTTACTATTACTCGTCCAGATATTGCATATGTTGTTCATATTGTTAGTCAGTTTGTTGCATTTTCTACCACAGTTCATTGGGCTGCTGTTGTTCGCATTTTGTGTTATCTTCATCACACTTGTTTTCAAAGTCTCTTATTTCCGTCAACATCATCTTTAGAGCTACGTGCGTACTTTGATGCTGATTGGGCTAGTGATCCAACTAATCGTAAATCCACCACTAATTTTTGTGTATTTTTGGGTGATTCTCTTATCTCTTGGAAAAGTAAGAAATAAACTGCTGTTTCTCGATCTTCTACTGACTCCTATGTACTGTGATAATAAAAGTGCTATTCAGATATCCCACAACTCCGTATTTCATGAGTTTGAAGGGTATAATGATAGTTCTTTTTACTTGATTAGGGTAGTTTAGTCTTTTTGTCATTTTGCTATTTATTCCCTTGTAATGTCTCTTTTCTAATTAGTGGATTGAACTCGTTCTTTGTTTGGAACCTTAGCTTTCATTACTCTCTTCCTCATCTTGCGATAACAATTCCAACACCTATGACAACCCAACTTGAACACTGTGAAATCCTACCTGCACCTGGCGAGGAAACCCATGAACTAACATTACCTTTGACATTTTTCGACATACCATGGTTGTATTTTCATCCAATTCAGCGTCTTCTGTTCTACGAATTCCCTTATTCCAAGGCCTATTTCTTGGAAACCATAGTTCCAAACCTCAAAGATTCACTCTCCTTCACTCTCAAACATTATATTCCATTAGCAAGCAACATACTGTATCCAGCGAGCAATGAAAAGCCCTTTTTTCGTCACGTGATGGGGGACTCGCTTTCTCTAACGATAGCCGAGTCAAACGAGGATTTCGACTATCTTATTGCAAATTATGCACGAGATGCTGATCAGTTCTATCCTTTTGTCCCTGAATTGCCACCACCTAAAGAGGAGCCTGGGTATAAAACTTTTCCAGTCTTCTGTCTACAGGTAACTTTTTTCCCAAATCATGGCGTATGTATTGGTTTTACCAACCATCATAGTATAGGCGATGCGAGTTCAATTGTGGGTTTTATCAAGGCCTGGGCTTCAATCAGCAAATTCGGGGGAGATTCGCAGTTGATTGACGCCAAATCCTTACCTCTTTTTGATAGACATGTCATTAAAGATCCTCGTGGAATAGGAGATTTATATTGGAACCAATTGAAGAATATGTCTTTGCAATTTCCATCTTTGCATTTACCCACCAATAAGGTTCGGGCCACATATATTCTCCACCAGGCTGATATCGAGAAGCTCAAGTATTCGGTTTTGGCTCGAAAACCAGATTTGGTTCAACCTTCATCTTTTGTAGTTACAACTGCCTATGTCTGGGCTTGTTTGGTGAAATCCTGGCAAACCAGTGGAAAGGAGGTTGATGCAGATGAGCTTGAATACTTTGGTTTTGCAGTGGATTGCCGGGGACGCATGAATCCTCCAGTGCCTGCTAGTTACTTTGGAAACTGCATAGGAGCTTTAATAGTGAAAATAAAACACCAGGAGTTAATGGGAAATGAAGGGTTCTTCATTGCGGCTGAGGCAATTGCAGAGATAATTCGAATGAAGGTGAACAACAAGGACGAAATGGTTAAAGTTGCTGAGAATTTGCTAGGAAATTTTTCCGAATTTATAGGTAAACGGATTCTTTCAGTAGCTGGATCGCCTAAGTTCGACCTATATGACACGGATTATGGATGGGGTAGGCCAAAGAAGCTGGAGGTAGTGTCCATTGATGGAGGTGGTTCCATGTCTCTGTGCAAATCCAGGGATTCTGAGGGAAGTCTGGAGATTGGTTTGTCTTTGCCGAAGAAGGAAATGGATGCCTTTGCAGCTATTTTTGCCAGTGGCTTAGGAATTTTATCAAAGGAAGTTCTCTACTGAGATTAATGAGGACCTGAGGTTTTTATCCTGCCTATATTCATCAATTTACACGTTGATCACTCTCAAGTTACGTATTTATTTTGATTTAGACTACTTCATCTTGCTCAATAAAGAACAACGTTGACTTGGACACCGAAAATGATGATGTGGCATAAAAATATGTTAGTGCATTATTTTTATTTTTAGCACCATGATGCAAAATATAATTTTTTATGTTATTGAAGAAGTCTTTTGAGTAAAGTGCACTTTTCCTATAGAAAGAAAAAACACATTAAATATTACGAAAGCACGTCCAGCCCAACCATATGCGCGCTATTATTTAGTTAGATAATAAAAATAATTTATCGGAAACTTTTCATGCCATACCATTATTTCTTTTGATTCAGAAGATAGAGTGCCTAAATTGGAACAAAAATGAAAGCTAAGGAATAAACTCTGAAACCAAAACCAGTCAAGTGACTAAACTTGGAGATATGTTATTCTTGCTCGAAAGGTTTCGAGATGGAATAATTATCTATTTTCGAGAAGGAATGTTTTCTCTCTTTGAGAACTATAATACGAGACATTTATCCTTTGTGGCCATACTTTCTGAGTTCCATTTGAAAGTCGAGATATTATTATTGGGAATTATATGAATATAAGAAAGATGTAGCATTAGTTGTGAGACAGAAGAGAATCAATTGTTTAATTCTGTTGTCCCAACTTTCAATCCTCTTAGTTGTCCCCTCAATATATAAAGTATACATAGTTTAATGTTTCGTATGTCAACTATATTAGATGGGTCCAATCACTCAATTGATGCCTAAACTACTAACCATCAATCATCTAGCTAGATAGGTAGGTAGGTAGTATTATTTTAATTGGTGTTAAATGGGACCTAATGGCAAATTGGGGATTGTGTTGAATCATCTCTAAAAGTCATAATGCAAGCTAGCTATCGTAAGTGATGAACTTATGTTATGTGGTAGCGTATTTGATGGTTTATTGTCTAACAGTGTTAAGATGCAATTTAATGCATTGGATAACAAAAAATTTTATTATGTGAATATGGGGTTGAAAATGAGATGGAGGAATTTTATTTTTAATAGGAGACAAACAAAAACGGGAGCATAACATTACACTTTTGCACAATTTAAGATTCCTATAAATCTCTTGCAGCTGCTTTGCAGTATGAGTGCGATCCCACTTATAAGCATAGTACCTATAGGAATGAATATCAGTTATTTTGCTGATAAAGATTAATACATTCACATGCTTGTATGCATAATGTTGCCTTCACTTCTCAACGATCTCTTTATGACTACATATATAGATTTTTCAATTAGTTTTGATTTCGCTTTACATTTTTATCAGCCCACACACTTCCATTTCAAATTCAATATGAACATTCTCCTCTGAGAACAATACTAGTTGATTACCTAAAAGTTCACTCCAACAATAAATATTTTAGCCGTTTGATCAATTTTTAAGCATTCTAAAACAGAGTCCTGACCCACCAATATTCCTCTATATGAATGATTCATGAATTTGTCAAGCGGAGCTAATTAATGGAGAGAAATTACAGATATCTTATTATAGTGACAGAACTTTCTATAAAAGTTATATAGCGGCATGTTACTTGCACATTGACCCAAGGCACAACACCCTATTTTGGGCACCATGCATGTATCTGTCAGTTGGGTTGATTGTTTGCCGAGCCGTGCTACTTGAACAGTTGTCTCTAACTGGCGCCCCTATATGTTGAACAAAGATGATGAAGAACGAAAATAAAACTAACAAGAAGAAATCTCTAAACGAAAGGTTTGAACACGATTCTGAGTTGTTGTCCTTAAACGATATTTGTCACCACCGGGATAAGTGATTGAAGGCTTCAATGGCAAATAGTTTGCAGGACTAAACAAACCTTAATCCAAGGATAAATCAAGTAATCAAAACTTGGAAAAGGAACTTTGAAGAACAATATAAAAAGCTGGTATTGATCTATTGATCTTTGATTTTAGATGTCGATGAATGAATTTGATGTTTGTGATATGATTTCAATCATGATCCAACGGGCAAATTTTTGTACTAGGCAAACTGGCCACTGCCCTGTTCAACAAAATAACTACGGTGATTGCAGCACAAGGTCGGGCTGCCATGCTAGCCATTTTTCGGCCATCACTGTTTTTTGTTCTCGTTTTGTTTTTGCTTTTTTTTTTGCCATAGTTAACCATTTACATCACTTCCAAATTCACTCCTCATTTTTAATTTGAACAATATCCAACAATCTCTCACTTGTTCAAATATAAAATTAGTACAAACTCAAATTTAGCGACACTTATGCATAAAGTATGGATATCTTTCTATTTAAATCCAACTTTAATATAAATCTCACAAGGTAATCATCAAAATCTTAGGTAACATAAAGCTTTGAACCTATTATTCCTTGTGATGATACCGGTGAAATCATACACACAAGTATCAAGTGTTCCAAGTTCCACACAATCTTGTTTAGCGCTTCTATGGCCTTGCGTTTCTCCTATTCATAAACTTTTAAGAGAAAAACTCAAATTCTCTATTGAAGCGGCACCACCTCAAAGTTTATATAGGTAACGTTCTTACAATATCTTTCTCACTTTTAGATATACTTTATCTACCGATCTGAATTTTATTAAGAGTTATAGAAATTCAACCCTCGTGAGAATGTTCATTCCCATCTCGTGCCCTTGGCTCTTCTTCAATTCAAAGATGGTTTTGAATTCTTCCAAAGAATAATATTGGGAGTTGTGAAGGATTTTCTTCCTATAACATTTCTATGTAGATGGCAATTTCGCAATGATTGCGCTAACTTGAAAAGTTTCGGGAAGATCTATTTTCACGGCCTTCATTTTATTGGCAATAATTTGCAACTAATGAACTTGTCCTAACAAAAGCAAGTTATCCAAAAAATTAAAATCAAAATACTTAGAAATAAGAAACTTTTTTGTACCTTTCTCATCGGCCTTGTATTTGGTTTTCAATGATTCTCATATCTCCTTTCCCGAGGTGTTATTTGTATAGAGATCATAGATGCGATTGGAGAGATTGTTTAGAATGTGTCATCTACATATGAATTCATCTTCTTCTCTCTTCTTTCTTTTCGCCCTTATTTCGTCGGTGTCATTTGGGGTTGGTTCCAGCAATGGTGCCAAGTCTGGATCCAAAATATAAAAGATCTTAAGTTGTAAGAAGAAACTTCAACTTGTCCTTCTTTCTTGTAAAGTTCGACCCATCGAATCTATCAGCCTTACAAGGTTTTGATTTATCATTTTTATCGTAGCTATGGTTGTCTCATTTTCCATTTTGAATATCGTTTGAGATTGTTGAACAAAGTTAATGAAGAACAAAAATAAAACTAGCAACAAGAAATCTCAAAATGAAAGGTTTGAACATGATTTTGAATCCCTGTCCTCAAACGATATTTGGCGCCACTGGGGTAAATGCTTGAAGGCTTAAATGGCAAATAGTTTGCAGGAATAAACAAATCATAATCCAAGTATGAATCAAGCAATCAAAACTTGGAAAATGAACTTTGAAGAACAATATAAAAAACTGGGTTTGATCTTTGATTTTGGATGTTGATGAATGAATTTGATGTTTGTGATATGATTTCAATCATGAAAACTACTTATATATATAGAATAACAATCACCATGCACAAAAAAGTTCAAAAATCAAGCCAAAAGAGTGTAAAACCCTTCAAAACGACACCAGAATTAAAAAATCCAACATGCAAATTTTTGTACTGGACAAATTGGGCGCCCACCCAGTTCCATAAAATGGTAACTATAATTATAACACAAGGCTACCATTTTCCACAATCACTGTTTTTTGTTCTCATTTTGTTTTTGCTTTTTTTCCTTATGATTGATCATTTCCGTCACTTCCAAAATCACACCTCATTGTCAATTTGAACAATATCCAACATTGTCTCCCCCACCTATAAGGTTGTGCCAACTAGCGCCCTTGCTTGAAAAGGTCCTACGTGGCCCTGTTCAAGTAGTTTTATTCTTGTTTGCCATCTTTCATTTCATCGACTGTACACGATGATTTTCCTTAGTGAGAATTACCACTTGAGGTCCAGGAAATATGGTCTTTTGACAATTCAAAGTCACATGTGGTTGGTGGAAATATAAATTGAATTTGGAGTACAATGCAAAAGATGGATTGCATTTCAGAGTTATAAATTGAAATGATGTATGTTCGATTTGAACTTATATAGTGATACGGAAAAATATCGAACTAGGCTACTTGACTCGAACTCGGGCTGCCAGGCCTGATCTTAGCCCACTCCAACTGGGCTGATTTCAAGATCGGGTCCATTATAAGGTCGGATCTAGGAATGCTAGTCCTACTTAAGTACAAACTCCTAGTTCATTACAATTTTACCCTAACACAAATTGTGCACTTCTAACATAATACAAATACCTAAAATAACTAGGACTACAGGAAGTTAAGTCCTTCCAGGACTCCCCTCCAACATCTATAAATACATAACCTAGCCTCATTATTCAGGTATGTTTTTATAACATTCCAACATATTTCTTCTTGCACACTTGTCTGACTTAAGCATCAAATGGGTGACGAGGACACACCTCGACGCCTTTGTTTCAGGTATTCGAGACCAGATCACATGGAGCTCATTCATCCAGTTCGGGTCTACCCAAGTACAATTTTTGGCATCATCATTGGCGCCGTCTGTGGGAACCGTTACCAAAAGTCATGGTAAATATCACCAGGTCTTCCTCCAAGTTATGCGTCCCCATGTAAGGAATAAGAACAGAAAAATAAGCAATAGCAGAAGCCAAAACTACCAAAAAAATCTGTGGATCCTCAAAAAGTGAAGATAGAAGATGAAAGACAAAAAAAGATTTTCTATCAAAACCATACCAAAAGCCACATTCTAGAGGCCCATTCTCCATCTGTGTAGAATCAATGCCCATCTCCATGAAGATGCAGATCTCTCCGGCCCTTTCCTTTTCCTAATGGCATTCGGACTCTTCCAACTCCTTGCCGGAAAGTTCCATTCCGCGATTATCCTTGGCTGGGTTACTATGGCATCGTTGTTTCTATACGTTGTTTTAAAATTTTAGCGGCCATAATAGAATAATATTCTGCTATTTGTGGTAAACTTCAACCCGAATCACATCTCTCTTCTGCGAAGCAGGTTTTTATTCATCTCTTTTCTTTTGTTTTCCCTTCAATTTTCTTACCATCCTACCATTTAACTCTACATAGGTATGCTTATTTATGATTTGAATTTTTGTTTAATTTTTTACTTAATTTCGCGAGCCTAAACTTATCTGAAGTGTTATTCTTGTTTACATTATGATAAATGTGGCTTTTCTATTCTCTTCCTATTTAATTACGTTACTTTCCCAAGGTTAATTTGCATGTCTTCGAACTTGCCCCAATTTGATTGAGGCGCATGAATTTCTAAATAGTTGGAAAAAATTGGTACTAAAATAAATTTACTTCCATATGAGTTGCATGGGGGGCGAACTAAATAAGGCAAATCTTACTTTGAATCAATTTATAAAATTACATTCTTCTGGGGGCTACGAAGCCTTGTGCAAGATCATTGTTGTGGGCATGGATATCTATTTGTTTTCTCAAGAGGATTTAAAGAGTTCATGTATTGAGGTGGCAATGAAGAGACGTTAAGTCCTTATAGGATTCCCCCTCCAACATCTATAAATATATAACCTAGCCTCATTATTCAGGTATGTTTTTATAACATTCCAGTATATTTCTTCTTGCACACTTGTCCGACTTAAGCATCAGAGGGGTGACAAGGACACACCTTAACGCATTTGTTTCAGGTATTCGAGACCGGATCACGCGGAGCTCATTCATCCA